GCATCCTGTAGAGGGTACACAGACACCCCGAAGCTCCACTGGCCTCTGGTTCCCAGGCCAAGATGACAGAGGCCTGGCCCTTCTGGGCCTCCCATAGCTGGGCCCACCCTGATCTCTTTTTTCTTTAGCCTAAGATGGTACTTAAGGGAGTGGTTTGGGCCACTTTGGGGGAGTGACTCAGGTCTCCTGGGTCTCTCCCATGTATACAGGAGGTTACTGGGCTTCTGCATGTTTTTCTCCCGTTAATCTGCCTTTTATTATGGGTGGGGGCTGTCTCAGCCAAGATGTCAAAAATTAGAGAGGAGATTATCTCGTAATATATTCTCTTCCCTGGTATTGTTCAGAATTTAAAATGCACTTTTGAATCCTTTCTGGAGCGTATGTCGAAGTGTACTTTTTCTTGAAGGTATCTATTGTCTTGCCATCATTTTTCTTTTCTATTTGAAAAGGAACAGTGGGACACTTGGATTTCTTCCCCAGGAGAAGGGTAGTTGGTCACGAGCTGAATATGAACCTTGGCGCTCTCTCTGTCTCTCCCAGCTCCCAAGAGAGCCTTGTACTTCGGGTGAAGGACTTTCTGGATTTCTCTAGTACTTATGCCCTAGAGAACAAAGCCACCCCAGAGATATTCAATCGCACTTAACGCTCACGTCAAATATTAGCTCCTGGTCTTTTCTTTCTACTGCCCTGTGGGATCGATGCCTGAAAACATCAATGCGGAGATCCCTTGTCTTCTGCAAACAGCAGGGCCCACAAGCTGCCTTGCCTGCGGCCAACTTGGGATTTCTCACAAAGGATTTTTCTTTTCCAGCAAGGCTTAGACTGCTTGGGGTGGTCCCTGAACTATGCTTTTCCTTTTCTCAGTGAGAAGCAGCTGTGGGGGGAGAGGAGGTATCCCTCTCCCCCTCCAGAGCCCTTTCTGGCTGGTCGAATAATCAAATAAACATGAGGCAGATTCGTAAGAGAAAAGAAAATAAATTTGACTGCTCATATGTGCGTACCCGGAATCTACATAGATGTGTGGATTCCAAAGACGGAGAGACAGTGGGGCTAAGGAATGGGGCACGGGTCTGGGCCTTCAGGGAGAGAGAAGGGGACTCGCCATGCGAGACCAACTGCTCTGTAATCACATATCTCCCTGCCGTATAGATGGTGTTCCTAATACAAAGGTTATTTCTGGTAATAATCCTAATTCTGGGTAATACCCCCAGTTTTCATGCTTCCAGGTAGTTAAGGGAGTGATAAATTTTCATCATGAGACTGCAGGGCCTCAGATGACTTCAGCCTGAAATAATCCACTTGACACAGTGCCAGATCTTGGGGAGCCTGTCTGGTGTATTTTGGGGGGGCCTTTTCTGACCCCCTCAGGGAATCCCATCCTTTAAGCACCAAATGAGAGACATTAGAACAGGAAGTTTCTGAGTCTCTTGATTATGCTCCTGTGGCTTTTGTAAAAGTTTCCACAAATTTAGTAGCTTAAAAACAATAGGAATATGTGCTTTCAAAATTGTGGAGAATTCTGTGCTCTGCTGAAGGCCACCTCTGGAGGCTCCTCCCTCCCCCTCCCCACCTGCCCTCCCAGCTGCCGGAGGCCCTGGTATTCCTCAGCTTGGGGCTGTGCCTCTTTCATTCTTGGCCTCCAGCTTCATGTGGTCTTGTCTTAGTCTTAAAAGGACCCCCATCATGGGGTGGGGGATGGACAACCCTCCTGATAATACAGGGTGACCTCATCTTAAGGTCCTACCTTAATTACACCAGCAAAGGCTATTTCAAAATAAGTACCTATACACAGGTGGCAGGAGTAAGAATGGAACCTTCTGGTGTCCTGGGTGTCCTGCCCAATCCATGATGAGTCCCTTGCTTCAAACCCCTCTGAGGTCCCCCCACTCTCATTGGCAGACATCACTACCTGTCCACAAAGGCCTTAACTTTAGGGCAGCGGATGTCACGACACATAGTCCAGAATGGCATGTCCCAGCTTCGTGGGCATAAATAACCCTGACCTACCTACAGAATCCTCAGAAACAACCAACACACAAAGTCTCTCTCGGAAGAGAGACCGGCTTCTGCAGAGAACACACACACCAGTGCTTTGATGTCTAAAAGGCAGAAGAACTCAGAAGACTTGAGGGGAAAACTTTAAAAATAGAACTGTTTTTTGTTCTTAGTGCTCCCTGCAGAACCAGGTCTCACAAAGACTTTTGGAGGATACCACCCCCGAGAGCTCGCGTCATTGATGTCTTCATGTGCTCCCAGACCTTCGTACCCGCTGGATATGCCTCACAACACCTAAGGCATCTCTAGGGATCATCGTCCTCCTTCTGCAGATGGGCAAAGCAGGACACTGTTCCCCAGCAAGTGTGGTAGTGTCCAGTAATCTGATCCCAAGCTGGGCGACCCAGGAGTGTGTGAGGAGCCCAGTGTGTTCCTGGCCACAGAGCCTTCTTCGGTGCGCACACCGCCTGCTTGGGATGGACACTTGTTCCCATTCACACTCAGCACTTCAGCAATTGAGCTGGTGCCCAAGTGGAGCCATTGAGTGGGTTCAAGTGTTTACTCCATCCTCGGGCTCCAACTGGTCAGGCGGGACTGAGTCCACCTGCAGACGCTGGTGTTACCTGGAGCCGCCGAGTAATGATCTGTCCCCGCCAGAGTGACTCTGTTCCAGTTTGAGTCCAACATTGTTCAGAAGCATGTACAGCAGCTCCCACACTGAGCTGCAGAGAATGACACCCCAACTGTATCATCTGAAGGAAAAATCCAGCCTGGGCTTAGTCAATTACTCCTGACAAGAGTAAATGGAGTGATCGTGGCACAAGGGCTAGAGCTTGATTCTGCCAGCTGGCTTTTTGCTGTCACTTGGGTGGGCCCTTGGTGGCAGGAAAGCCAGAAACCTACCTCTGGTTTATTGGCTTCGTTAGATGAATAACCCCTGCCACTTCCACTTGGGGAGATCATAGTTAAGCTTGGCTCTCTCCCCAAAACTCAGCCTCTTCACTGAGGGAGGAAGGCAGTGCTTCCCTGACGGGCAAAGCCTGAAACAAGGAACTGCTTCTTATCTTGCTTCTCAAGTTTGAAAGGATCCATGCTTATTGCCACTCCCATACCTAACCTCCGTGTGTTTCTTTTCTTTTTTTTAAAGATTTATTTATTTATGCATACAAGAAATGGGGTACAGGCCAGAGGTGTGAGGGTAAGAGAATTCACCAGAGACAGCGTGGGGAACAGAACAGGCAGACTGACTGAAATACACTGCTGAGGGGAGCAGCAGGTAAGACAGGACAGGTCTGCTGTGCTGTGTGGGTCAGCTCCCTGGCCGGGGATCAAGCTTGTGCTGCAGAGGCTGCAGACAGCTTTATAAGTTGCGTCTCAACCCCTTGCGCCACCAGGGGGGCCCCCTCTGTGTGTTTCTTAGGGTGAATTCAAAGTGAGTTCAGAGCAAGGGGTTTGTTCCCCAACACCCAGGTTCCATCAGTGACCTCAGCCTTTAAGGTACGAGGTGGGGTATGGTGAGGAAGCCCCGAGCTCAAGACCTAGGACTGCGCTCTACCCAGTAGACCTTCTGGAACCTTGTGTTGGTCTGTTCCAGCTCCCACAGCAGAACACCCAGACCAGCGACTTAGACAATAACAGTTGACTTCCAGAAGCTGACGTCCAAGGTCAGGGTGCTGGCAGGGTTAGGTCTGGGGGTGCTGTCTCCCTGGCATTTTCTCTATGTCCTCACTTGGCATTTCTTGGGGTCCTGCAGAGAGAGGACCAGCTCCCTGGCATCTGTTCTCATCAAGACTCTCATCCTATTCCATCAAGGCCTCATTCAACTATTCCTTATGGCCTCATTTAACTTTGATCACATCCTTATAGGACCCAGCTCCAAATCCAGCTACCCAGGGTGGGGGGCTATGGGCTTCAGCTTATGCTTTGGGGGCTGACACACTCAGTTCACACACTTTATTAAAATGCAGACTCCAGCCCATAACCGGGGTGGAGCCTGAGAGTCTGCATTTTACCCAGTGACTCTGGTTGCTGGGGCATAGATCACCTTGTGTAGCCCATTCCCCGGATGCTCTTATATCACAGGTGGAGGCCGCTGAGGGTCTCGGGGAGGTAAGAGGATGTGGTGGATCCCACTTGGTTTGCAGGAGCCTCCGGGCTGGGGTTGCAGCCCTAAGCCTGTGTGAGGCTTGTCAGCCAGAGCCCAGCGCAGAGCCAAGGCCTGGCTCGCCCAGCCAGGCTGATGAGAAGCATATCACCAAGCAGGCCTCCCATTCGCTTGCTGTGCTTTTGAGTCTTCCATGCCCAGAACAAGACCTGGTAGCAACAGGTGCTGAGTGCAGGTCTTATGAATGAGTACATGCATGTCACAATCGCCTCTGTGTGTGTATGCACACTCGTGCCTACGCCATTCTGTCTAATTGGCTGATTCCTTGAGGGTAGAAGCCATGCTTTTTTGATCTTTGCATTCTAAGGAAGGAAAATATGCATGAAAAAAGTAGGCCTGCAATAAATTGGATGGCTGGCTGCCTGGCTGGATGGGTGAATGGATGGATGGATGGATGGATGGATGGGTGAATGGGTGGGTGGATAGAAAGAAGAATAAAAAAATAGATGTTATTTGTGTAGAAGGGAGGTAGCTCTGGCTACCCTAAATTTGGAGTGGGTGAGAGACCTTAAGTCTAATTAAGGAGTCTGCTGAGGTGCAGTATTGTCTGGGGGCACATGGTTTTATGGGCCACCAGCTTCTTTGCCGTGGCCTCTGATCTATAGCTTTTGCCTTTCCCCCACATCTGCATGTAATAAAACCTAGTTATGACGTCCATATGTCCCCGGTGCAAACACCAAGACACAGCCTTTAAAAAGCACTGTGGAGAGCAATGCCTTGAGAAACAACTGTTGGGGGGTGAAATCTTTATTGTTTCAAAGGGCTGTTCTACGCCGCCGCCAATGCGCCCTGACCACGGGTCTCACTCCTTTCTCTTTTTTCTCTTTTGTCCCCTTCTCAGGGTATCACAGCAGACTGTAACACCTGCGTGGAAATAGAGGACAGAAAGGTAAGGCAATATTTTTTCATCTTTTGGTTTCAAACCAAATAAGAACTGTGCGATCGAAACCCAAATGTTTAAAAGGCATGTCTTGCTGGACAACACTTTGCACAGGCGATTCGTGCGCTGGTAATGGACGCTCAGAGTAAACATATTTTGAAATGTCTGTCCTTTTGTTCCCTCGTAACCTGTATGGTTGCTGAGGGCTTCGATGGAGAGTCTATACTATAATGGAGTATTTAAAAATCGGTGCGGATTTTTGTTTTAGTCATATGCTTCTCATCAGGAAAACAGCTCACTGGCCCTTCACGTCAGTCCATACTTCTGTTGAAGATTGTCAATGATTATTACAGACACTGTGTCATAGGTTGCATGTAATTATTGTATAATACTGCAGCTATCACAGACTCTATATTCCTGGGATTTCCAAGGCCAGTCTCTACATTTATGCACTTGGACTTAAAAGAAAAAGCCTGCCTCAGTTTCCATCATGACACAGCTCACAAACAGCAACTTTTTGTGATGGAAATCTGTTCCCATGAGCTGATTTGGGGAGGGTGGTTCAGTTGGGAGGGGCTGGCATGACTCCCATTTTAAGAGCCCCCCGCCCTGCCGTTTATCACCCTCTTACACTTGGTGTCCATCCCCTCGGGAAAAACAGCTGAGAGATAATTGTTCTTCAGTTAAGTATCTTCAGTCTCTTTTTATTGACAAGAGTTCCCAGAAGTCTCCATGGCCAAGCACATCCAAGCAGATGAAATTTTACCTCTAATGCCTTGGGTCCAAAGAGGTCAAATAAGTGAATTGAGGGTACATATCTCTCAGCTACTTTTGACATCCTTCCACAATTTTGAAAAATGTTGCTCTCAGCAGCTTACCATTATGTCGAATGCAGTTAGTATTTCAAGCAGAGGTCTGCAGCCCTGATTTTGCGATAGTGCAGGCTTCTGCTGATTAATAAGGTGGCGGAGGACGTCTCCAAACAAAATTCATTTTTAAATAAAAGGCAGTCGCCATGCAGTATTTTGAGGAGTGTTAATCTCCTCATGGTGAAAGGAATAATCGGATGGCAGCTTAAATTCTCCCTGTGTGATCTCAGCTTAGTTCGAGCCGCGTGGAGCTCTAGTTTTCAGGCAAAGGTGTTTCAATTCCTGTTTGTGCCAGGAAACTCACAGGGGTGCATTGTGTGAGCCGGGTAAATGCAATTGCAGGCGGCTGTGTCCTGCCCCACGCCGGCCCCTGCTCACCTCACAGTCCCTCGCCACTGCCAAGGCCCAGGGTGGCCACTTTCAGGGGATTCTCAAGCTTGTGTCTGTCCAGGTTTGTTTTTCCCTGTTACATTTTTTTTTGCCAGTAACGTTTGAAAGATGCCATGAAAACCACATCTGTTCCATCGCCAGTGAGCAGCCAGAATATTCTCTGGGATGAAGGCCAGTCACGGGGCTCCACCCTCCCTGCCCAAGTTGCCTTCGGTTCAGACACAGACATGATAACGATCCCCCAAGGCCGCGGATGCCCGGTGATGCTTACTGAGGGAAGAAGGCCTCTGTGGTCATTCTGTCCATGGCTTCTGCTACTTTCAAGAGAGTAACACACACACACACAGGTCTCTGCTTGGTCATAGATTAAGGGGTGGAGATGGTGGCTCATTTCTGAAAGTCCCACGGTTTCTGAACTTGACCCCCGTGTTGGATGATTCTGAATGAACCCAACCTGTGGCCGCGGTGAACGCCCATGGCTCCTGGCCACCACCCTCATGTCCTCCAGCCTGGCCTTCGACCTCCCCTAGGACTTTCCTTCTCTCTGCTCAACAGATCCACCCACATTTTCTTCCTCTCCGATGTACTTGTGCGCCTGTGTGATTCCCATTTCAGGGGGACAGCTGTCTGGGCTCCCGATGTTGCTGGAAGTGTCGGTGAGAGGTGCAGGGTGGCTCTGGAGATCCAGGTCCTGGCTCTGCAGCCCCCATTCCAGCGGCGGGGTGGCACCCCACGTCTGGGGTCCTGCTATGCTCTGCCATGGTGCATCCCCCGGGGGGCAGCCGCCGACGCGTCACCAGGGAAACCGCCCTGGAAGTGATGGCTTGTTTCTCATGTGCGTGCCCCTCTGCACTTAATCCGAATGCTTCTGGCAAAATCCATCATGTGATAAAGTGGAATTGAAGTGACAAAAGATGACAGCGGTGCCAAAATAATAAGTCAGCCTACCTCTGACGGGCCGCTCCTTGGCCAGCGTGGATTTTTACGAGCTGCTGGGAAGGAGAGGCCTGGCGTTTGCTTGGAGGGTCAGTTTCCTTTGGTCCAGAAAGCTTGGCCCTCGGTCTGCGTGGACGTGATGGCAGCCCTGCCCTTAATCCCGGCCTCCTCCTCCTGCTCCCGGGTGTCTCTGTGGGGTGTGCGCCTCGCGGCTGTGCCGTGCGAGGGGTGTGGGTCTCTTCTTGATGGCAGAGGATTCGGAAACACAGAACCTCCACGTCTCTACAGTGGAACCGGGTCTGCCCCTGCCGTCCCTGCCTGGCCCCTCCTGTTTTACTCGGTAGCGCCACTCACCTGGGCTGAGCCGTTTTCCCGTTGAGCGGGAGACCAGGTAGGATGATGGAAGCTAAACGGCTGGTCTCAAGAGCCGCAGAGAGCTCTCCTCTTAATAAAGAGCCATAAAATTGCTCTTCTCGGTCTGCACCTCGTCTGGGCTCCGAGACCGTTGACAGAATCAGAGAATTTGTTCTCGCTCTTACGTCTCTCTTCCCTTCATCCCCCAGCCTCTTCCCGCCAGGGGACAGAGAGCTAATTGTCGCTTGGAGAACCTCACCCGGCTGAGGGTGGAGGGATCCGGGCTGTGTACTGGACTCTGCTTTTGTTTTGAGTCTTGTGGGCTTCCCGGCATTTCTCCAGAGGGCGCCCCTAGCGCTGGTGGCGATTTCCCCCCTCTGGTGGGAGGCAGAGACAGGTAGTTCCTCCCACAGGTGACGCCTCGGGCTGCTGCAGATGTGGCCCGGGGGGAGGAGGCCGGTGCATCCCGGTGGCCACGTGGCCCCCATGCTCTGGACGCGGCTGCCCCGTTACAGAGTTGCTGGCGGAGAACTGAGGCATGTAAACTCATTTTTGTATGTGGCATAACATCCCCCTGCATTTCAATACTGTTATAATGAATGAGGTTCAGGGAAGGGAGGAGAGATGGATGGGTGGCGGGGAGCTCATGGGTGGTGAGAGTCTCTCGTTACTTGGCCTGGCCGCCGAGTCCTCGGATGAGCTGCCCCGTCGCAGCAAGGCGGGGTGTGTGGCTGCGGAGCTCTGGGGACTCTCAGGCCGGGTCTGATGGAAGCCGTGATGGTGGAGGGGAGCAGCGGCTGTCGTGCAGGAGGGATGAGCTGCCTCTTATGACCGTCTTCTGGGCCAGGTGCCCTGACAGCCCCAGTGCTCCCTGCAGCTCAGCGGGAGGCCCTGACGCTGCCCCATCTGCAGGTGCAAACATGGAAGCCAAGAGCACTAAGTGCTCCGTGAGCTCTGGGCTCAGAGGTTCTACCTTGCGAGCAGAGCGTGCCCTTTGCCCCCAGACCATCCGGTCCTGCACACAGACAAACAGGAAGGGGCTGTCCTTTCTGCCGAGGAGCAGGGCCTGCACCGGCCCTCAGCTCTGGCTGGGGTTTCCCGTGGGGCTGGTCTGGTTGCTTTGGCAATTCCAGCAGTGCCACTGCCAGGCTCTGAAGACCATGCTCAGCGCACAGGCATCACGTGGCACAGTGGGATAAGCACAGGCTGGGGAGCCAAAGCTCTCGTCTCAGCTCCCTCCCAGGGCAGCTCCGTGGCCTTAAGAAGCTTTCTGACCTCTGGTCTCTCCCGCCTGTAAGTTGGTGATAATAAATCCACTGGGAAGGCTGATTTCAGGAGCTGACAAGAGAATACCACAGAGCAATGCCTGTCACAACATAAGAACTCACTTCCCTTTGGCTACTTTGGTTTCTGGTTTTGCTCCTGTCCACACCTGTGGGCATCTATGCCCTCGATTGTGAGACCCCTTGAAAACAATGAGTCTGCAGGGAGTGCAGTGGGAGCAGAGGGAAGGGACAAGCAGCGGGGCCGGGTAGCTTCAGGAGGAGCTTCGGAGGATGGATGCCAGCCAGGTTCAGCCAGTTACAAAGTCACCTGTCTGCCCAGTCCAGGAAACGGGGTCAGAGGGGTCTGAAGCTTTGGGGTCAGCAGTGAGCTCAGGTGATGGGGCAGGGCAGAGGCAGCTACCTGCTGCCTGCGGGACAGTTTCATGGATACCACTTGCTAGGTCAGTCTGGGAATTGGCGTGAAACGGCTGATCTTCAGGAGACTGTGCCAACCCAGTAAAACCCATGCAGAAAAGAGTCAAGAGCATTGCAAGGCTGACTGGCTGGCTACTTCTCTATGGGTTGGGAGCGGCTCTCCCGTGAATAATCCAGGGGTGATGTCTCTTGAAGACAGTTCCTGGCACAGGAAACAGCAGGGGAGAGACACAGAGGTGGGAGAGGGTGTTTAGGGCAGATTCAGGCCCCGCATGCAAGTCTGAGGGGCCTGGGGAGCTGAAATGGTGCCTCCCAGCAGAAGGGGCAGGGAGGGGCAGGCTTGTGGGGTGGAGTCAGGGTTATAGGAACCAAGGAAATACCTGAAGCTTGGGGTGACCAGCTCACCTAGTAGGAGGAGGTTCTTAGGGATGAGGAGGCGGGATGAGCACAGCGATGGGGCGTGGAGGACAGGCCGGGACAGGTAAGTCAGGCAGTACGCACACTGGGCCTGGGTTGCCTGCCAGGGGTCCTCTTTTCAAAGATGCGAGGCAGAGGAGGACCACGTTTCCCCGCAGGTCAGCGAGGCTCAGGTGTGAGATGCAGAGAGGGCTCCTGGGCAGGGGTTGTCGGGGGGAAGGGAGGAAGCTGTTTCTTGGCACCTGCACTTCAGACCTTGGGTTCCATCGAGGAGACATAATGTGGTGGGCTTTTGTTTCGTTTTATTTTGCTGTTGCTGCTTTTAACAAACCCAAAGTTCTCA